TGAATACTACCCAAAGTAATCTACAGGTGTAATATAATTCCAATTCAGAGTACAGCAACATCCTTTAAAGAGACTGAAAAAATGATCATTAACTTTATATGAAAAGGAAAGAGACCTTGAATAAGCACATCTGCAGAAAGAGACAATGGAAAAGCTCCATATCATCAGTCAAAACAAGGCCAGAGGCAGACTGTGGAACAGACCATCAATTACTCATATGCAGATTCAAACTGAAGCTCAAAAAAATGAAAACAAGTCCACAAGAATCAAAATATGACCTTGAATTTATCCCACCTGAATTTAGACATCATCTGAAGAACAGATTTGTTACATTAAACACTAACGACCGAAGCCCAGAAGAGTTGTAGGATGACATCAAGAACATCATACATGACGAGCAGAGTTAGAAAGTACTGGGTTGCGCTGATAAACCGGCTCCCAGTCCGTACTTAGAGCTGCCTCTTCCTTCTCCTTTCACTCTGAGGGCTCTCTGGAATCCTTGCCACCCCGCCAGCATGTCTCAGGCTGAGTTTGACAAAGCTATCGAAGAGGTTAGGAACCTCAAGGCCAAACCAGCTGATGATGAGATGTTGTTCATCTACAACCGCTATAAACAATCAACCGTGGGCGACGTAAACACAGAATGGCCTGGAATGTTGGACTTCAAAGGAAAGGCCAAGTGGGATGCCTGGAATGATGTGAAAGGAACCTCCAAGGAAGATGCCATGAAAGCTTACATAGACAAAGTAGAAAAGCTAAAGAAGAAATATGGAATATAAGGGACTGGATGTGGATGTCAGCCAAGCATTTGATCTAAACAGCTATAACACCTTGTTTTTTTTATAATACTGAGGGAGAAGTTAAGTCATGAATATAACCAGTTAACCCAGTTCCTCAAGATCTCTAAGATATGGCTCTAACAGATTAGGAGCAATAACAGTTACTCACCTGCTCTTTGTTGTTTTTATTTGTAGATCAATTAAAGTCAATTTGTTACTTAAAAAAAAAAAGAA